AGATTCCACTACTGGTAAGGACAGGAAAAGTTTGAGCACCACTGGCTTAGATAATAATGTTTGGGGAGGTGGTTTAGTTATACAGGCAGAACTCCTGTGGGCTTCTGCTGCATCTCCACTAGGAAGCTCTTTCAGTTGGTGTGACTGTAGTAGTATAGCTATTCTTTCAAAGACTCTGTAGTATAGACAAGCGCTGACTCTTACAACCAGGATTCTACCTTAGGACACTACTACATAGTTGAATCAAATTTATTGTTAAAAATGTTGCTAATGTTCAGTGTATATTTTCTTTTGCTCATGTTCATCACTTTTTCTTCACATATTTCTCATGTGACTACCATAAACACCTCCCTTGTTTTACTCTTAAAACCAATCAGATATTTGAAGTTTGTTAAATTACTTCAAGTTTTTTCACATAAGCTATGCATATTAGGTACATCATGTTTTTTGTTTTTTAAACCATTCTTTCCTGGTCACTCCTCTCAAATCCTTTCATTCTTTTTATTCTGTTCTCAATTCTCTCCAGTTTGTCAAAATCCTATATCAAGGCATTCAAAACTGTATACAATATTCCAAATATGGTGAAATAAAGACTATGGAATCTGGCCTCATCCAATATGCAAGCAAGGAGATTGCAGCTGAGAGACCTTCAGTGCAATGTGGTCTAGGGGATTGAGCACTGAACTGAGAGTTGGGAGATCTAAGTTCTACCACTGGCCTGGTGGGCTACTCTAGACAAGTCATTTCACCTCTCTGTGTTTCAGGTCAGAATAATCATAGTGACCTCCTTGTAAAGTGGTTTGAAATCTAACAATAAAAATATGCTATCTAAGAAATAGGTATTATTTTGAAAGTGCCCTGCTTCATTAATGACTATCAAATATGTTGCTTTATTATATTTTTTCTATTTGTGCTTGAATATGCAAGAAAATTATCATTCATACATGGAAAGTACACCTGACACTCCCCCGGTCTACAGCTCTGGTTGTTAAAAATTGAGTGTGATTTTTCAAAAGCATGCACCATAGCTCAGTCAAATTTAAAACCAATTTACCCTCAAAGGTTCTTCTCAGCAACAGGCAACTTTCCTTCTACAGCTGTTTCAAAAATAGTCACGTGAGGGGTTTTTTTGGTACTTGGAAAAGCGTTCAGTTTATTTTTTCTCTCTCTCCGGCTCAAAAATGGTTAAGCAAGTTTATATGTGAATATTGGACTAAAGATTTCATTTTTACTTATGATATACAGACTAGATCTGCTTGGGAGGTAGCAAACCATGTCCCAAGTTAACCAGTTAGTTATAAGTGCAAAAATAAATGATTTGGGAGAAGTCTGTTTCTGTGATTATTCCCAGTCCAAATTAAACATGATCCAAAAGCCAGAACTGTTCACTATGCTCATTCTTCAGACCACAGCTCAAAAAGCAGAACTTACCTCTTAAGAAATATAATTTTAGGCAACAAATGGAGGGGGGAGTCATGAAAGTTTAGTTAAATGTAAATGTGTTAAATGATACATGAACTAGTCAGGTTTCCATGATTTATCAGTTTTAAACTTCGAAGACTCTGGTTAGCTTGTATTTTTAAAACTAATGAGTTTATCACAGCCAGTGGGAAAAATGGTTAAAGTATATCAGCTGTAAATTGGTACAAAGCACTAAAAGGGACATTAGCCTCTAATCAGATTCTAACAGTTCATTAAACCTGCCTTTTCTGAATCGCTCTTTGTCTCTTTTTTTCACCCCCTTCTGCTTGTGCCTCCTGCACAAGAAAGTCTCTTCCTCTTTTCATTTGGATAAGACCTCCTTAGGGATATGAAGCAATATCAGCTCATCCTTCTTTGTCTACAAACTAAACAGCCTAAGGGATGCTTTATTATGCTATATTCCTGATCTTGCTGTAAAACTCAAAACTGTGCTTCTTATAAATCACGAAAGGGAAGGGACTTTCTAGCAAGTGGAATAAAAGCGTTACAGAGCTTGGAATGCCAAGCTGGCTGCCTTTGCTGCTCCACCCTAAACCACATCCAAACCACTGAAGTTAAGTGGCGCCCTAGAACATGAGATCCATTCCTGATAAGTAAACAATACACCACCCTTGCTGGGAAGAGGAATTTTAAGTCTGGAACAATTTCACTTAGTTATTTTGTTGGTATCGTAATCCCTTCTCCCCCAACCCCTGATAAAAATCAAGGTATCCAAAGATGATTAAAGAAATTACATTAAAGCATTATATTTTTAATTTTCTTGGTCTTCGTTGTATCCAGCATTTTTAAGCTTGCCACATTATGGAGAGAGATCTTAGTAGGGAACAGGTGAAAAACTTAGCTTGCCTTTTAAATGTCAGTTATTTTGTCTGAAACTGTAATTTATTGTAGTATCTAAGATTATTATTAAAAGAATAGAGGAAGTTTTGTTCAGCTTGTTGACTTTGGTGCATATGAGAGTATTTTACGTGTAATCAATTTCAGTGTGTCTTCCCCATCCCCCAGTTCCTTCAAACTGCTACATAGAGCCCCGCTTAAGACAGTGGGACCCTAAATGGGCTAATTGGTCTGCCCCTGGCGAGTACCTTGAGAACTGACGTGTTCGTTTTCCTGTTTTCAGGCTTGTACACATTACCACTTATGTCGGTATAACTTATGTCATTGAGGGGTTTGAATAAGCCACCCTCCTGAGCAATGATGACATAAGTTATACTGACCTTAGCGCCAGTGTGGATAGCTCTATGTCAGAGAGAGAGCGTCTCACAATTACATAGCTGCTGCCTTTTGCGGGGGTGTCTTTATTATGCCAACAGGAGAGCTGTCCCGTCAGCATAGAGTGCTTCACTAGGCATGCTACAGTGCTTCTAGTGTAGACTAGCCCATAGTTTTCCTCTTTTACTGTGAGTTATTTATGCAGCAACAGGGGGGGTAGAAATGTTTTTAAGACCCGACTACTCATACTGTTGTGAAAACTGAGACTCTTGGGAAGGTGTAGTACTTAAAATACTTGTAAAGATGTTTTTCTGTTTTTTATTTTTTGCTTTTTTTATAATTGACCAAATTTCATGCTCATAGTGTTCCTTTATGTTCAGTTTCCCAGTCAGGTCCATTTCCCCACAAACTTCACAAAGGTAACCATGTAATTAAAGTTGCTGTGCTTTTCTGGAGTTGTCGACCCTCACCCCCAAGGGACACTATACTTGGGCTAGCAGCAATTTTCACACCTTTCAATTTGTAAAATAAAAAGAAATTGTATGAAGAAATATGGTAATGAACACATGCTTTCAAAATAAATAAATGCACTGGAGAGTATTATACTGATGGGCTGCCAGCGGAATACACATAAGGGAGACTTCCCATTAGATTTACATTACTGAGGAGGAAGATTAGTGGTTACAGTAGGGGCTTGGATTCATGACCCAAGGATTTGGTTCCAAAGTCTGTCCCTGATTTGTTGTGTTACCTTGAGAAAGTCACTTTTCACCTCTGTGTGCCTTTGTTGTCCAATTTGTAAAATAGTTGTAGCAATATTATGTTTCTGTAGCTAAGATGGATTGTACCTAACCCTCAGTGATATAGAAGAAGATGGAGGAATTGTCTTCATCCACCCTGTTGTATTCATTGGTGCAGCTTTTTACTCACTGCTGTGGGGCTGTGCCTTAAAGTCACAGCATAGTGCCTATTTGTAAAAGTAGTTGAGATACCCATTTGAAAGGTGCTAGAGAAGTGCAGAGTATTACTTGTGAAGCTTTGGCCCTGAATATGATCTCTGAGCTTTCACTTAATGTTGCTGTTCTGTCATTCCAAAGGACACCATTCTTTTCTTTTGTTACATTAAAAATAGCTTAGCATGAAAACAAGGCATTTGGGAATACAGTTACTCAGTTATTTGTGGACTCCCCTGCCCCCCACCCATCAGATCTTGGGCTTGTCTACACATGAAGTTATTCTGAAATAGCTATTCAGAAATTGCTCTTCCTGAATAACTCCATGTGTGGACACAAGGCTGCCAATTCTAACTCTAAAGATTTCAATATTACAAAGAGGAAGTGTGTGTGTGTGTTTGTGTTAATATATATATATATTAGTAGTAGTAGTATTAATTATTTGAGTTACCATAGGGCCTAGGACAGGGGTTCCCAAACTTGGTTCGCAGCTTGTTCAGGATAAGCCCCTGGCGGGCCACGAGACACTTCGTTTACCTGAGCGTCCACAGGTACGGCCGCTCGCAGCTCCCATTGGCCAGGAATAGCGAACTGCGGCCACTAGTTAATCACCAAGGCCCCATTATGCTTGGTGCAGTATAAACACAGAACAAAAAGAGGGACCTTGCAATCTATAAGACAAGAGACAACAGATGGGGACAGACAGATGGGTGGGGAGTACAAGGAAACAATGAGACAATGTTGGTTAGTATGATAGTCTCAGCCCAACAGTCTTACTATTATCAAGTTTTTTGTAGGCATCATAGCAAGAGAGAGTTTTGAGGAGGGTTTTGAAGATGGATAATGAGTTAGTTTTGCAGATATTTATGGGAAGCTCCTCGCAAGCCTGTGGGGCAGCATGGGAGAAAGCACAAAGGTGCTTGTTTGAAAATGTAACAAGTAGGTGATAGAGGCTGGCATCAGTGGTGGATTGGAGGTGACTATTGATAGCTTAGCAGTGAATGAGAGATGATACATATGTATCTTTCTGCTTCAAATAAAGAAATCAGAAAATTATTACCTGTTGTACCACAGAGATTTAGTTTCCATACATATCAGTAATTGATAGGATAGTTGACAGTATTTTTAATATAAGTAACAAGTTGATGGTAACTATGTACCAAACAACATTAATTCCCAAACTTTTGTGAGTGTTCATGTTAGGGATTTAGCAAATTGATGGTCCAACATTCTCATTTTAATTAGCAAAAATCAGCAAACTGGTACTGCATCTGCAGCATTGTAGGTGAACTGAGCCAAACATTTTTTTCCTTTTAAGTTGACTCTTGCTTCTCTTTTTTTCCCCTTACTTAGGACATCAACGCCTTTGAGAACAGAATGTTAATGCTTGATGGGATGCCGGCAGTCAGAGTCAAAACAGAACTGTTGGAATCTGAACAAGGAGTAAGTAGAGGTTTCCAGACAAATCCCCCCTTTCCTCTTCAGTGTCTTGGTAATCATTTCCAGACTTTCCAGTGGACAGCTTCTCCCCAGCATGGTGTGCTCTTCTCTCTGTTGTCTTCCTGAGGCTAGTTCTCTGGGAAATGCATCTGCCAACTGCCTATCTCATCCATTGGGAGTGGAGAGCAATCTGTACTCTAAGAAGATATACTGAAAGTTTCTGGAACTGTGTGGATCCTTACTTGGGTTTAGCTTGGCAAAAGTTTTGAAAGTGCTGCCAAAAAAATAATAAATAAAAATTGTGTGGTGAGTACAATAGGCCACTTTCTGCTCTCTGTTATTATTAACATTATGTTGTACATTGTAGTATATTTTGGGGACCTTGCCGTAGCAGCTGTCCCATCACTTTTTCCTCTGCCTATCTGGCAAACTCCATGCTTTTCATGCAAAACTGCTTCCTTATTCTGGTGGAACACAGCTGCTTTGAGAGATTATGATCATGGAGGAGGCAGTGATCTCTCAGGTAGTTAAATCTGACCTCACGGAAGACTTTAATATTGGGACAGAGACTTTGAACTGGATTGTGTATTCAGTGGAGAGCAAGTGTTGAATGCTAGGGTGTTACAATCACAGCAGCCAATGTTTCTAAGAAGAAGGGCTACTGCATTTTGTACAGTTGGAGCTTTTTCAGTGTGAGTTGCTTCATTCTTGGATATGAGTTGCAAGAGTTAAGCCTGGAAATGAGGAATGTGTGGATGAGCATGGAGACACTGATGATGGTGATAGGATACTGTCTTATTATGGCAGTCCCTATATGGGTATCCAGTAGCATTGAGGAGTGCAAAAGGATTCAGATATTGCAGACCAATGTAACCTTCTGCAGATGGATGCCCTCATTAGGCAGCAGATATAACAGAAGGGGTAATTTCGTTGATTTAGAGATGACTGTTAGCTACTAGCACTTCAGCCTGTGTTTTTCCAGTTCCTCTCCCGATGGCTTCATTTAGATTTTGAACAATATGGGGGAGAGAATTGAGCCTTATGGGGCTCACTTTGAAGGATTTGGAAGTGGAAGAACAGTTGCCTAAAATGTCCTCCTAGCTTCATTCTGAGAGGAAAGACACCATTTAAGGGAATTCTGATTCATCCATGCAGCTTCTTAAAGGTTATACAGGAGCACCCTCAACACACCTAGAGAGATGGCATAATGCAATACAGTATGGAGGGTGAGAAGGCAACAAAACTAGGCCCTTTTTATAAGCCATGTGCTGAAAAGACTGGTCCACTAGTGGTAATCTTTCTAATAACTTCTGTGAGGGCTGGCATGAAACCCATGTATACCATGAACCTTTCTTAATACTGACTAGAAAGCAAGTATAGTAAAATGTGTTTTGATAGAGAAAAGCAAATAGTTATGCTAAGTATTGCATGTCCCCTTAATAAAAAAGGTTCCATACTTTAGTAAAGTGTGACTTGATACCAGAAGACCTACTTGGGTCTTAGAAACTAGAAGGAAATTAACAATTTATTCAATTTCCTAATTTCCTTGGGTCTTTTATAAATAAAATTTTATGGACTTTTGTATGTTCAGAAAATGACGTCATTGCTCTTTTTCCAGTGATTAAGGCTTTGGACAAAGACCACAATTTCGTTTGGAAGTTTATGTGCTTCACTGCTAATTTGGGCAGGAAAGTAGTGTCTAGTCAGAAGAATAAATCACCTTTATGAATCTTTAAGGGGCAATCAACAGATAGGCCATGAAAGTGATGATTTAGGCTGTATAGTAGGAAAAAGATACTGAGTGGAAACTGTTACACAGTGAAATAATTTTAATTAATTAATTTCCATTGTGATAGTGTCCAGAGGCCCCAGTCAGGATCAGGGCTCCACTGTGTTAGTTGCTGTGGAAACACATAGAAAGACATGGTCTCTACTCCAAAGAGGTTACCATCTAAGTCACCTAAAAGAACGGTGGAAACTCCATCACTCAGTTTGTTTAAAACTAGATTAGACTAGACATGCCACTGAAAACTGTACCAATAAAAAACAATCCTGCATTGTTGGTGAGATGAAATAATGAAAGGAAGTGTATTACTAGAATTAACTGAAATTAAAATTGGAGGGAAAAGGTGGTACAAGTATGAACTATGGATGAATAGAAGTTGAAGAAATGGGAGGATTTGAAGAAGGCAAAGCTGGGAGGAAGAGGAGGGCTTTAATGTAAACTGCAACAGAGTCACTAGAGTTTTCTGATCTGCTTTGGGTTTTGAAGGTTAGGTTCCAGACTTAGTCAGAAGATTGTTTAAAAAAAAAATTGTGCATTACTGCATGAATCAGATAATGGTGTCGGATTACTGGTTAGCATAAAAAGCTGTAATCCTATTTGTTGAAGATTTCGCTTGCCATAGACTTGCACAACACAAATCTGAAAAATTTGTCCCCCAGTATACCAGCTGCAATGATAATACAGATTACCTGAGTACATAAGACTCTCAAACCTAGCATGGAAAATACTATTATTTTGATGATGTATTAATTTATGTGCCTTCTGATAGTTGTGTGTTGGAAAATGTATCATATTTGAGTCAATCAAGATGCATACAATTTTAGTTGTCACTCCTATCTTGACTTCAATTTCACTTTTGAAAGTAGATTTGGGGGGGGGGGCTTGTCTTCATTGCAGTGTTAACTCGAGTTATTTACATGCAAATTAATTCCTCTTGAGTTACCATAATTCGCATGAGAGTAGTCACACTGCAAAACAACACTCAAACTGCACAGAGTGATTGTATTAGCCTCACAGAATTGCATATCCCCACTATATTACTAGCTCTAGCAACACTTGAAGTCAGCCTACCCCAGCCCTCCCCAACAGGCCAGCTAACTTGAGTTTAAAGCACTATTTAACTTGAGTTAAATGTGTGGATGGGAGTTAGGTTAAGGACAACACTTCAGTTATATCTCAAGCTAACACTGCAGTGAAGACAAGACCTGGGAGATGGAGATCACTAGACTAGGGTTACCATATTTCCACAAGCAAAAAAGAGGACACTGGGGGAGGAGGAGCCCCGCTCTAGCCCCGCCCCTGCCCTGCCCCATCCACTCCCTTCCACTTCCCATCCCCTGATTGCCCCCCTCAGAACCTCCAAGCCCCCCCCGCTCCTCATCCCCTGACTGCCCCTCCTGGGACCCCTGCCACTAACTGCCCCCTAAGACCCTACCACCTATCTAAGCTGCCCTGCTTCTTGTCCCCTGACTGCCCCCTCCTGAGAACCCCCCACCCTCACTGCCCCCCTACGACCCTACCTGTCCCCTGACTGCCCCAACCCTTATCCACACCCCCACCCCATATTCACACCTCCGCCCCCAGACAGACCCCCTGGGACTCCTGTGCCCTATCCAACTGCTCCCCACCCCCTGACAGGACCCCCAGAATTCCCGACCCATCCAACCCCCTCTGCTCCC